CCCTTCTAAAATGCGCTGGGGACTCCTTTTTTTTTTTCTCGAAGGGAATGATGGCTGGTGCCTGGGCCCTTCATGGTTGATAAACACCGTAACTGATATAATCTCGAAGGGGTGCCTCGATTTGGGAATTTTCTCAGAAATAGGGCCAGACTGAGGGGCTTGTGCAATTCCTCTGTTGTAAAAGCAACAAACAAATCCTTGGTTCATTAGATACCGTATTCTCTCGTATTGTTCTACCCGCACGTCTAGGCTAACCTACCCAACCTGGAATACTACCCGTCCGGAAATAGTGTGACCTGCCTGGATTGCTATCTCGAGGAGAACAATCCAAGATGTGACGGTTTGATTTGCTTCTGTTTATTTACATGTATCTCTGCATGGTTTCTACCAGTATGAACATTCTCATCGAAAAGAGGAGTTACTCAGAGTGCAACCGACCTGTATATGAAGAATATCTCACAATAGATGAAAAATGTTATCATCATGATTGCTTTGCATGTCAAAAATGCAAAAACCCTATACCCAGTAAGTTACTCCCTTATAGAAAAGTAAACCTCATCACTATAGGGATGGATGAATAATCATGGGAAGTGTTGTATCCGGAGGCATTTTTAATATCTCTCTAGGCCCTGGGATCAGGCCCTATTGAGGTTAAACAAGCATACCTTCAGGTCCTAGGATCAGGTGTCATTAAGGCTAAACAAGCATACCTTCAGGTTCGCTGTCAGGGTTACGTTGAAGAAAGTCTAAGTGTATTTGTGTTCATGTTTTCACGAAACTCGGGTCACCTGGATAGGCAAACAAAAGGCGTGCAGCCGCGCCGCGACTGCGCGCGTCTCATCTGAGCAAACTCCTCTAGCGTTGCAGTGCTGCGTCAGCACGCTGTGCCGAGCCTAAATCGAGCAGTGATGCAAATTAGTTGCACATTATTCACCAAGCATAAGTTATTGTTAAACTGGTTTTTCAGATGGAGAATACTTAATTCTGGATGGCAAGTTTTATGATGAAGACTGCTACTATACTACGAAATACAATCTGACAAAATTGCTATAAATTAACAATAAAGCGATGCTGGCATTTTGTGTGTTTGGCAATAACAACTTCCTTTGAAGAAAGACCTTTCCCCAAACATCTACTTTTTAATTCCATGAAAAAACTGCACTTATCCCTTGTAGCTCATTCAGTCGATCAGAGAGAATAACGCTGGTGGAACGAGAGAACAGACTCGGTACCTAGGCTTTTGAGAACTACTTCAATGTGGTGTCGTGGAAAGGTGGTGAATTATAACACACATATGGTTCAGGGATCGAATGCCAGACCAAGCCAACGATGCTTCCATCCCTCCAGAATCGGTTAGTTGCTGCGAGGTTCGTCAGGGAGGATGATACCACTGTTCTATAGAGCGGGTAACCATCGAAATTGTTCTGGTGGTCTCATATTCATCCAAAACTTTACTAGGATTCTGAATGGAAGTCGAATGCGGGGCGCATCCCTTAGAAGGGAACGATTAACGCCCAGAACTTTATCCTTCACTGCAAAGGGTCTAAAGTGTTACGATTCTCTGGTAGGTTTCATATAGAAAGCTGCTCTCCAGTTGAAAATTCGCATTCAGTTCCAGGTCCTTGAAGTCGACGATTGTTCCGAGCATCGATCACTTCGGAAGTTTCTCTTGTAACGGCCCTGTACAGCTCATCAGTGCACAACATTTTTCGGCAAACACAAGCTTCAGGAAGACTGAACATTATTTAAGAAATTGATATATTCAGCAATTCACTGTTATGTCTGTCACTTCCGATGCTACTATCGTAATTTGACAGTATTTCCGATATATGTTAGAGAAATAGTTGTGTTTTGAAGCTATGCATGCCTTCGCTTGAACCCAGTTAGATGATCTATTTGTCTTCCAAACAATCATGTCTTGAGTTGTTTTATTTGAAGATTTCCGAAAGGATCTTTCGAAGGTTTCAGAAGATAACTGTTGATTGGATGCTAGATGAAGCCATTTCCTAGGAGCCGTCACTCGCGAAGCTGTTGAAACAGAGTGCTGAAATCACTGATAAGTACAAAAAAGCTCTGAATGGGCTCTAGAACTGATCATTGAATTGAAGAGGAGTTGAGTTACAATAAACGTTCACCATTGATGTAATTAGAATGTATTAGTTTTCAAAATGTCTTGAACAAAAATATTCCCATGGAAAAACTGTTTGAGCAATGCAGTAGATATCAAGAGCTCTGTGGGGATTTTTCTGGTTTCCAATAAGTAGGTATCGCAAGTGCAATCTTGACCCACACCTCTTATCCCAGCATCCATGCGTTTGAGAAGTTTCTCAACCACAAAAGCCTCATCGCGAAGGTCCGAACCAACGAGAAAGCCTAAATTCTCGTATGACCCTTCGAATAGCAAGAAAGATCAATTGAAAAACTTTGCAGCCTCGGTAGCATGGCAAGCAAATCCCATCAGTACTAGTTGATCTTCCAAGCAAGTACAAGTAGCTCTCGATTTTCAAAAATCATGTCGTTGACCGTGAATAAGGCTGTTTACGCACAAAATCATCCCACCTCCTACGAAAACGACACCAGAAGAATGTAGTTTCGATCAAACGCTTTTCGAAAAAGATTCAAAAACTGAAGTGAAGTTCGAAGATAATTCTCAAAATGGGGAAATGATCGATCTTGGCAACCAGACCAGACAGTGCGCTACTTAGTTGGTCTATACGGGAGAATGGATTTCTTGTTTTAACCTAGCAATTAAGGCGTACTTATTGCTGTCTACTTCTAATGTGAGACTTGAAATCCCTGGGTATGCTTTAGAAACCAAAATCCGTGGGTTCAAGTTACAGTACGTGTTGGACGCAAACTAATGCGTCAAATGTGTACTCGCACATAGAACAACGTAATCAACGCCTAACGTTACTCGTTGTACTTTGCGTTATGTATAATCATAATTTTGTTACTATTCAAGTGTATTCTCAATTTTAACTTCATCATTTGTATTGTGGATCCAGGTCTTCTGCTTGTTGGGTACTTCCTTTTACGTTTGAATGCCACTACGTGTAAGTAGTAAAGCCTTAATTATGTGAAGCTTAGGAATAAGATGACAGTGGTTTGTAAAGGTTGATAATTTCGAAATTTCATTCAATCACGTCCCCATCGTTTATGCAATTCGCTCGAGGTAATATTCTACCGTTCCAGCTCGTAAAAGTAATGCGAAATCTAAAAGCAATCCTATTTCTTTGTAAAAGTTAAAGTTACTTCGTTGGCATGCTTCTAGCATCTTTTCTCGAATTTCTTTACAGTTTTTTTCTAATACACTCGGCTTCACTGACCAAAATAGCTTTAGTTAGTGGAGCCGAAACTACTATTGCGAACTACAACGTAGGCTCAAGTGATGGCCCTCTCTATCCGCTCTCCATGTTTTTGTTATCCCCAGGTTACGTTCATTTTTACCATTCCCTATTATCGAGGACTGCATTTCTTGACCTATCTGCTGCTTATATTTAGCACGTTGACCCCCATGGAAAAAAGCACACAGTGTACAGTACGGCCCCCCAACAATATTGGACGAAAACGGCCATGTGTACCGTAATCGGCGACCTTTAAAAGTTGCGTTCCTGTTTTGTAGCCGCAGATTAACATGGTATGGGAAGAGATATCCTTCCGACACTATCACTATGCGCTACATCATTATCAGTTACATTCACTTCTGTAAACTTCATTTACTCGAACCACTTCTCTGAACCAGTAGGATTTCTTTGGAGTTTGAAATTTTGAATTCTGTACGATCATTTAGGACCAGGTGTGCTTGGTTTTTCTCTGTAAAACCTCTCAAACTGTTTTTTGGCAATGTGTGTGACAGAGACCGTAGTCGTGACGCGTTTTTGTCCTTTGAACCATGAGTCAGCCTTATCTCGAGCCTTCTAGAACGTGTACTATGGAGAAAGCTATTATAGATTCAATTTCAAAACCTAGGGAGTTCGTCTATGCCAATAGCTTCATGAGAGAAAATCACCTTTCATACTGTTCTGATCTTGATTTTTGACTTCGTTGATGTTTTTCTTTTTGAGAAAAAAACCTTTCAATTGAGTTTCAAAAGTTTTCAGGCAGAATTACGCCTCTAATTTTTATCTAGTCATCGTATGGACTTTGACGAGGTGTACGGAGGTGGAGTTGGCGAAACATTAACGTTCGTAGAAACCGTAGATGATGATGGAGTTCTACATGGAGGAACTCAAGATTCTACATTCGCCTTCGACCATCACTTCTCCATACCGACACAAAGCTCTCAGGTGATTGAACAGCATTTCGACTTGATTTTTCGAGGGCAATGCTTGTATTTCAGTTCTCTCATCTAAATTAGGAACTGAGAAAGCTATTACAAGCAAATTTATTGAGGAGAAACAAAAGCAATCATCCTTTTTGATCATTGAACCCAAACATGTTTTGTGATCTCCTAAAACGATGGTTTGATTGGTGTTTTTCTATCCATTAATTAATTCAAGATAGCGCATGGAAATTTAACTGGAGGTGTTGAAAACAATGCGGATTTAACATTTCATGACGTTGAGGAAGATGAGCAACCACAAATAGAGAAGCTCCCTGAACATTCATGCAGGTATGGTTACTGTTGTTTTATCAGAGATTATCAGTGGTTAATGTTGAGAATATCTTACAAATACTTTGTTCCGTTTCTTACTACATAGCGTACAGGAATTGTTATGATTATGTAATAAAATTAGTGCTTTGAAGTTCACCAACAACAAAGGATAGTTTTCGCAATACTCCTTCTTGACTCTATTGTTGGCACTTCTTGTTCGTGAGCCACCTGGTTCAAACTTTAGTTTCCGTATTACTTTAAAAAACTAAGTGCTTACAACAGTTGGCTTCTAAAAACGTGGCGGAACAAAAAAAAAATCATCAGATTGTTCCAGATATTGTGGGATTTATGAGTCGAGCTGTGTTGCTATGTGTACAGTTTGCAATCGATGGTTCTGTAACGGCAAAGGAAGTACATCCGGCTCGCATTTGATTACTCATTTAGTGCGGTCCCAGCACAAAGAGGTACAGCCACATCTCAGTACGAAACATTCTGTATTTTGATAGGATTATATTGATAGTGTTAAAGAAGCTGGTGAAGGATGCAAAGCTAACTCTTGCCTTCCAGCTCTAAGTAGTCCGGAGAGTATCATCCCGCTATAACATTGTTTTGTTGATTTTATGACTGCATATATGCGTAACACATTTAAGCACATTTGCCCCAAGTTTTGCATCCCATCCCACAGTTCTTTCATGGGTTCTTTTCATTAATGTTTTTTGTCAACGTGATGTAATCTCAAACTTACCTGAACCATAAGGGTGTTTTCCGTGCTCAATTAAGAAGTTTTTCCCCGCTTGTGATTTTTAGATAGTTTTTCAGCTTCATCCAATTGCTTTTACTGTTTTCAACCAGTCCTACTTTTTAGGTCTGTCTACATCGCGAATCGCCGCTCGGAGAAACTCAACTGGAATGTTATCAGTGTGCATCGCGCAATGTATTCATGCTAGGGTTCATTCCAGCAAAAGCTGATTCACTAGTGGTGAGTGAATCAAGGGTTTCTCACGACTTTTTGATTCGAATAAAGTAGGCTTCCTGTTTATGAGGTGAAATCCCACAATCTCAGGTAATATTATGCCGACACCCGTGCGCTCAAATCGCTTCTCAAAAAGATCCAAATTGGCAAGGAGAAGAGTGGAAGCCCTTGATCAATGAGAGACAGGTATTTTTGTTGATTCCATGAATATTTTTTCTCAATCCAATGATCTTTGCTTTCAGCTGCTGTCGTGGATAGTAAATATCCCATCCGAGCAGGCTCAGCTAAGAGCGCGTCATATTACGTGAGTTTTTTTTTTCAACAATTCAGAGTATAATGACAATATCAGGGCCTTTGGTGCCAAAACGACCTCGATTGTCTTTGTAGTATGCTATTATGGTTAAGAATGTTCCCGACAAGAGCATCTGTACAAAAGTGAGGGCATTGTGCCTTCACAAAGACGGATTGCAAGATTTACCCATCATTGCTACGGTTGGACTTTTCAGAGCCGCACAAGCTAGTCGCCTTGAAGATCTATGGAAGGAACATCCTAAGGCGACGGTGGAAGATCTGGATCGACCAGGTGTTGACACCGAACCGGAGAGTGTGCTGTTGAGGTACTTATTCTCATTTGTCCTTATCGCTTCTGACTGTGTTGATTCCAATGTTCATACCATTTTATTGATGGCTATGTAAAATAGCACGGATTGATATGTTTCCTTTCAGATACGAAGATGCGTTCCACTATCGGCGTATTTTTGCTCCTCTTGTTCGTGAGGAGGCCGAGTTTGACAGAAAGACAAAAGAGTCACAGACTCAGAGTGTCGGTCATGTTCGTTGGGATCAGGGTTTGAACAAAAAACACCTCGCCTTCTTCCATTTGCCGAAATTCATGGAAGGAAGTGAGCCATTGAAGATTTGTTGTGCTTCACTGTCTACCTTTGTTTTGGTTGAAATTTGTTGAAGTGTTTTGATAGAGCTGTTTGGTAGCCACATTATTTACAGGCATGAAATTGATGATCGGTGACGAGCTACGATTGAAGCATAGTCAAACGATTGAGAGGGAATGGCAGTGTCTAGGACAAGTTTTCAAGATTCCCGATAGTAAGTTTTTGATATGATTTTCAAAAAAAGTCTGGAATTTGGACTACTATCTTCTACTATTCTCAAATTCCATATTGCTTCAGACCACAGCGATGAGATCGGAATAGAAATGCGAGCTGCTGCTTCCGAGAAAATGCCTACAGATCCGCGTATCAATTTTACTTGTGAGGTAAGCGGAACTGTTGAGAAAAACCCTTTGATGAAATTTCATGTATTCCTTACAGGCCGTTTGGAATTCGACTTCTTTTGATCGAATGTATCAGGCTCTCAACACTTTGGAAAAAGATCCCCACTGCGTTTCTCAGTACATCTTTCACAAGCTCATGGGACATGATATCGACGAGATTCTCTTCAAGGTTAATAGATTCCATGATTTGGTGTTTCTCGCTTATAAGGTTTTCATTTATTCATCTCCTGATGTCTTTTTTGGTATGCGGCATATATAGAAAAAGAGCACTACGTGGTTTCGCACTTAATTTTGTTCTTCAGGTCCAACAACCAAAACGCCTGTCGGCGCCTGGGCTTCCTGAATTGAATCACAGTCAGATGCATGCTGTAAAAACGGTGCTTATGAGACCGCTCAGTCTTATCCAAGGACCGCCGGGAACTGGAAAGGTTTGTCCACGCTTCAGTCGATTCCGGAACGAATGCTACGGTCAGCTTATTTAGACAGTGACCTCAGCCACCATTGTTTATCATCTTGTGCAGCAAACTCAAGGACAGGTCTTGGTTTGTTCACCATCCAATATTGCGGTTGATCAGCTGGCTGAGAAGATTCACCGAACTGGTCTGAAGGTGTGATTCTGCTTATGTGCACTACATAATATCTGTCTATGTGATAGATAGAATGTTGATTCGTCATTTCGTTGTCCACTTTAGGTTGTTCGACTTTACGCGAAGTCTAGAGAAGCCCTCGACACGAACGTTGAGTTTCTAGCGTTGCATGCTCAATTGAAAGCGCTCAAGGAGTCTGCTGAGTTACAAAAGCTACAACAGTTGAAGGTATCCGCGATTATTTTGAAAGCATTTTCTATGCTGAAATGAATCGATTATGTAAAATAAGGTATTTGTTTTAGGAAGAAATCGGTGAACTATCGGCTGCCGACCAAGAGCGTTACATCAACCTGAAGAAAATGAGTGAACATAAGCTGCTTGCGGCGGCGGACGTGATTTGTTGTACTTGTTCTTCGGCGGCCGATGCTCGTTTGTCGAGGATTAAAATCAAGTAAGGCCTAATTTCAAATCGACATTGACTGTAATTATTTGTAATCGGACTTCGTTTTAGGCATTTGTGCTCGAAATTTCATTTTCAGATGTGTTCTGGTTGATGAATCGACACAAGCAACAGAGCCAGAAGTGCTCGTATCGATCGTTAGAGGTGTTCGACAGCTTATACTGGTGGGGGACCACTGTCAACTTGGACCAGTCATTTTATGCAAAAAGGTGAGTTTTATTCGCTCCAATATTGATTTTTGCTTAGATAAAACATCTATTCATTAATTTCGGAGATGGTTGATTTTCGCACAGGCTTCGAAAGCTGGCCTTTCTCAGTCTCTGTTTGAACGCCTTGTTCTTCTCGGAAACCGACCTATTAGGCTCCAGGTTCGATCACTCGCTTTGTTCCTTGGCTGTAAGGATGAGAAATTAATTAATTACATTTAGGTTCAATATCGTATGCATCCAGAGTTGTCTTCCTTCCCAAGCAACGTTTTCTACGAGGGCAGTCTGCAAAACGGAGTGACTCAGAGTAAGTCTTTTAGAATCCTAATCACAGTCCGGGTATTTCTGAGTTGACACAAGTCTAAAGTAAATATTCTTATTCCAGCCGAACGTCAGCTTCGCGGAGTAGATTGGGAATGGCCGGTACCTGGGCGCCCAATGATTTTCTGGTCGTGCTATGGGCAAGAAGAGATGAGCGCTAGTGGCACATCATTCCTGAATAGGACAGAAGCAGCGAACGTGGAGAAGTTGGCGAGCAAATTGATTAGGTGAGTCGTATTGTTCTGATAACTTTTATGATGCCGTATCCTATGTTTTTCTTATCCGTAACTTCTTTCGGTTCTAGAGGCGGTATGCGTCCGGAACAGATCGGCATAATCACTCCATATGAAGGGCAACGATCCTACATTGTACAGTACATGCATACACAAGGAACACTCAATAGCAAGCTGTACGAAAACATGGAAATTGCCAATGTCGATGCTTTCCAGGTGGGCGTTACAGTTTTCATAGCATAGTCTGGAATAATTCGCAAGCGATGTTTCTCTTTTTGTGTTGATTTTCACGGTTTTTTATGTGTTTTTGTTATCGGGTTTAGTCACATTGTTCCTCAAATCATAACAAATTTGGAGGTGCAGAAAACTATTGCGAAAAGCATTGATGGGACGCTGAAGCGAATTCATGTTTAATAAAACTCGGTGAATCAGCTCTGCTTTCTTTCATGAATATTTTTAAGGGACGCGAAAAGGATTTGATCATCGTTACATGCGTGCGCTCAAACGATCACTCTGGAATTGGCTTCCTGAATGACCCACGTCGTTTAAATGTGGCTTTAACTAGAGCTAAATATGGCTTGATCATTATCGGTAACGCAAAGGTTAGTTTTAATAATATTTATTTTTTTCCGAAATGAAAGTGTTGGGTTCTCGGAGTCGTCAATTCAGACAGAAACTTTTTGTGTACTTATTTCGTATTAGGTTTTCATGAAATACGACAGCATTCCCAGCCTTTTTCAAATGTTATAGTAAAGGAGAAATTTACCCCAGGATAGCATTAGATATTATCAGCCGAACTTGCAGCAGTAGGGTTATGGAATATATTGATTCAATATCGGGCACTTTTCTATTTCAAAGTTTTATTTGTCAAAGTAGTTCTTAGAGTTGAGGATGTGCATTATTTCAGGTTCTTGCTCGACAACCTCTCTGGAATGATCTTCTGACAACGTTCAGCCAGAAAAATGTTATAGTTGAGGGACCTATCAATAATCTCAAATCTGTTCAAATTACATTGCCGAAGCCGAAACCACAGCGGACTAATCCAGCTTATCCGGTTAATTCTTGTTTGTCTTCATTGAACGCCTTAATTTCAAGATTCTGAGTATTTAGTTTTCGTGCGTATTTGTTGTTTATGTCAATTAATGTTCAGACTGATCGTTATGGTATTCAAAGAGCTACCTATACACTCCGTGAGTATCGCGGTGGATACTCAAGGGATGCACCACCAATGGATCCTCATTCGGCTATATCTGCACAGTCATTGCGTCATGCTGCTAATTTGCCTGTACCTCTACATATGCTTCATATGTTCCCTCCACCACCGTTCCCACAACCGCCGCAGCAACGTAAGTTTAGAACTTCTTGTTAGAACTTTCTTTCCGTCTCATTCCTTAGTCCTGACTCAGTCAGCTCGCTAACTTCGATGGAAGTACTTATTGGTTTTATTACTGCAGGATTACCTGGGCGTCGGAACAATTCTGCATGGCCGCCAACACCTCAGTCACTTGGTGGTCCATCATCTCGAATGGGTCAGTCACAAGGGGACTATGGAGGAATGTATGCTTCACAAGTGGGTTTTGTTTTCTGTCGTTTTTCCCTTTATTAGTTTCAATTATTTGTTTTTGTCACTGGTCATTGTTCCTCTCTTGTTCACTGAGCGCAAAATCGCAGTTATTCACTTCTGCGAATATTTTGCAAGAGTGATTGATTCGAAATGCGCAACATTAATAAATTTTTCTACTATTTGACAAGTTAGCCCCTATTTTTTCTCACGTGATTCATTGGTGATATAGGTACTTCCAATTTCGTTAATTATTGCCTTGAGTCACTCCATTTTACAAGCTACCTGTTTAGGCTTCGCAAGATCCTTTGATTGGTGTGGATGCGTACGGTGATGTATCGATGTCGGGATGGACGCAGTCTCAATCGCAGAATGTTGGAGCATCGATGGCGATGCAATCACAACGACCAGTCACGGCGGTATCGCAACAGGATGACTATCGACATATGGCATTCAGTCAGGATATCGAGAACGATATGGCGAATCTGCTGCTCTCGCAAGGACCTTGAGCTCATGGATGACCATCTAACGGTGTGTGTTTTTGTTCACAAGTAAAATGCCAAATGCATAAGACTGCACAACAGAATATGACACCCTTGAACATGAGTTCATCGCTCAGCAATTACTCTGAGTATGGATTTTGAGGGGCCTTTTGTCTAGGTTTTTTCGGGAGATAGACATTGTCATGATATTTTTCTTAGAAATAGTGTATCAAGGGATACTGCTTCACTCTATTACAACCTTTTATGCACGACCGTCATTAGAAAGTTGACATAGTGACTTTGATAGCAATGAAGCCTTGTAGGAACTTTTCCATTGCTCCGCTCACACTGCACAGTTGCAATGGCTTGTATTGCGTGGCTTGTATTGCCCCAGGGGTTCAAAGAAAGCTAGTCTCTTCTTCAAGAGAGAACTAGTGAAACTTAGAGCTAACGTCATATTTTTTTAGCTGTTGTGCGATCGCTAAGGATCAGCGGTAAATAGGCTCTGACGTCCCCGCTGACCGCGGCGGCCAGTTTCTACTCGATGTTTACTGAGCGAGCGATGATTTGATAGCGCTACTCGGCGAAGATCCGACGACGTGCGCGGCGATCAGACGACGCTTTTTCGACCGGATTCGTGGCGCAAGTGACTAACATGGCATGGAACTCGCCCTCTTGAAATGGAAATATAAGTTTTTTGTACTCGTGGCGTTCATTTGTGTATTGTATTCCTATTGTTTCTTTCTTTTTTCTGTTTCTTCGTTTAATGTGCTAGAAAGCAGAAAACAGCGCTCTGTATGGTTATGTATAATGCGATCGAAATCTAAGCGCTTTGTTTTATTGTATTTTCACTCTTTCTCTCACCTATACAGGCATCGTACTGTTTACGTCAAAATTCCCCTCTGCTTGTAGTTGTGAATAGTTGTGTTCAACTTGCCGATCTACTCTATATGTATAGTTTCCCTTTTGCTTTGATAGAAGCCTACGTCGGTCTGATTTGTGTTGCTTTCACATTCTCATAAATCGCTCGCACGCGTTGTATTAATGCAGTGGTCAGTGGAGTTGTTCTTGGGCAAAACATTATCAATAGTAAGCTGTGTGGCTCGCTGAGCATACGTTTGACGGTCAAGTAAATGTGTGATCCTACTCTGTCATTGAATTATAAAGTAGGGTTGTTTTCCCTGCAACATTCATTTATAGATTTTTTTTTCACCTTCTTCGAAATTCTTTCGGAACGAGAAGCAGGAGATTGCGTACTGTGAGGCCGAGTAAGTTATTATTTGTTATTGATTGTCTGTGTTTCTTCTCAGATGGGTCGAAACTTTCAAAAGAAGCGCAAACGGTTAGGTATGAAACCTAAACAACATCATCAACAGGATGAGTCTGGTGCGGATAGCAAACAGAACGAATGGAGAAATGTTAGTGAAGCCTTCACATAGGAGCCTGTTTCGAGGTCCTTCTTCATGCTTTTGTTGTTATTTCAGCATAAACCCTACAAAGACATTGTCAAGGAAAACGAAAAGTATTGGAATTTTTACAAAGCTCAAAAGTTGATTCCTGAAGAGGAATGGGAAGCGTTCTGCGATGCGCTTCGAACAGACCTTCCAGTATCGTTTCGTGTCCAGGGATGCCATAAGTATGTTGAATTCAGTATATTTTTTGAATAAAGTTAATCACATTGAAATAGTCGGTTTCGTTGGGGCTTACGTGAAGTGACATTGTTACAACTCTCTTTGAAAGTAAAATAGTCCACATCGAAGTTGCTGAAAGAAAGGTTAAATCAATGCGACTTATTGGCCAGACACATAGTCAGGTGTCACAAAAACTTTCTGTGTGAGATCGATCTTTGAGTAACCCATGGCTCATCGGAGTTCGTCTTTCTTGTGCTATTAGACTTACTTGCCAGCTTTGACAAGCATTTCCTTTTTCCCGTGGAGGCACAATTACTAATATCATGGGTCAAATGCAGTAGTTGAACCTTTTGTTTTTCGAAACCAATTTTCGTTTTCTATTGTTACTGTTCCGAAAATTCTCGCTTTAGTGTAACCTCTATCTTTTCAGGGACCGAGATAGGCTGATGCATGAGTTGGAAACTAAATTTTTCATCCCAATTGCTCAATCAGAGGATTCGGACGTCTTTGAGCCAAAGCCGTTGCCATGGTAATGCTTCTTTTGGTGCCTCGGAACCATTTCATTCCCGTCTACAATAGTGTCTATAGCCCGTTTTTCTACCAATTTCCTTGACCATATAGGTATCCAGGTGCATATCAGACTAGAATGACCAGAACGTCGGTGAGGAGTCATCCAATTCTGGCTCATCTTCATAACTTTCTGGTAACTTCTTTTTCATTTAGACGATCATAGTGAACTCGAAATGCTAGTCGATAGCTACACAGCTGCGATCTTACCTTTCAATTTCCATGCTTGTAGGTCACAGAAGCGGAACTCGGTCACATATCACGTCAAGAGGCTGTGAGCATGATTCCACCATTGCTTCTGAATCCCGATTCAGATCATCTAGTTCTCGATATGTGTGCAGCTCCTGGTAGTAAAACAGCGCAGTTGATAGAAATGATGCATGAAAACACACCCACTCCAAGTAAGTAAAATTATGAGAGGAAAATTTGTTGGCATCGAAATATTTCAAATTTTTCTTAAATTGCTTTATTCGTTCCAATTGTAAGCATAAAGTGTGAAATATAAAACCCCGAGTTTTTTAGGTGGAATGCTCATAGCTAATGATGTCGATAAAAAACGATGCTATATGTTGATTCATCAGACACTGAAGCGATTTCACACATCTAATTGCGTCGTCATTTGTGAAGATGCTGCTAGAATGCCCGTTTTGAAAGGAAAGGTTGGATTTCCATCGGGTTTTCTATGCTGGCTTTCTAGATATTTCCTATTAGCTAAGGAGGTATTGGTTAAATGTTGGTTGGAATTAGTTGGGCTCATGCTAAACTTCGTCTCATAACAATGAAGAAGTTTTCTTTGAACTTTTGTAAAGTGGAAAATACATGCTCCTCCAGTCTATAAAGAAGCTGAGGACATACTGTGGAAATCGAGAAACGAGTTTATACTGTTAATGATGTTGTTTGTTTACTTAAACGATAAGAAGCGTTCACTAAGGATAATCGTTGGTTTGGCTGATACAAGCAGTGCTCTACTATAATAATGTTATTTGCACAGTAATAACTGCTCATATTGCAGTAGCCAGAAGCATCGGTTGCCAAATGTTTTTTCAAGACGTTCCTCTGTTGAGTCGAGGATAGTTGAGCCTTCTAACTTTTTTAAAGGGACGATCTAATATACCTATTCTGGTGAGGCGATACCAATGATTGCTGTAAGGTTGGCCTTCTCCTGACAGAATGTTAACATATTCCAGGCTAGCTGCGTTTCTCATCGAATTAGAATTACGGCGAGTTTTAAAAGAATCATCTGCATCTAGCTCTCATTCTCTCACTCCTTTTTCTTGTAGGCAGTAAAAAAGCGCGAAAAACTCTCTACTTCTTCATAGTTCACTAATCGAGTGGCTGTCCCTACAACTGTATCTATTACGGTCTCCGTTTTATAAACTGTAAAAAGAATGATTCAAAAAACCTCAGAATGACATATCGCTATATTCCAGAATATTCTTTTTTGAAAAAATTTTCACTTGTCAAGTAGTGATAAATTATGTCGATAAGTCATTTACACAGCATTTTTTCGGCTGGCTGTGTTGCCTGTTCCAGCGGTTCCATGCCATCAATATTCGTTCATATCATTGCCAACCTCTTCTCTGTTCTGCCCCTATTTCATTGTTCACCTTTTCTCATGTTTGTTTCCTTTCTCAGAAATCATAATGTTGCTGAAAGTTCCTAATCACTATGTTTTTCTGTGATCTATGCTCTTCAGTGGAGAATGGGCGCATTAACTTCGACTCACTGAAATGTTTTTATTCAAAGCATTGAAAATTTCCTTTGACTGGACATTTTTTAAACCCGTAAGTGTTGAAGTTTGTGTATTGCAGGATGACGTGCCATTGAAGTTCGACCGTATCCTTTGCGATGTTATCTGTAGCGGAGACGGTACCCTCAGAAAGAATCCAGAGATTTGGGGTAAATGGACTCCGCAAGAAGGCTTAGGACTACATCGAATGCAGCTTTCGATTGCCAGAAGGCTGGTTTCCCTTTATTAAGTAGTCATGTGGTTGAATAGTAACCTTTTGGTCTGCCTGTCTCACTCTATACTACTCAGTAATCATCATTCCTGAATGGTAATGAGTAAATTTTTTGATTTAAGGGGAGCTGCCATGTTGAAGGTCGGTGGTCGACTGGTCTATTCTACGTGTTCCATGAATCCTATAGAGGATGAAGCCGTGGTTGCTCAGTTGATACGAGAATCAGAAGGGACGTTACGGCTCCTCGATGCTCATCCCCTTTTGCCAAAGCTCATCAGTCTTCGTGGGGTTTCTACTTGGAAGGTACCCGAGTTGATGATTTATTTCTTTTGACTGATTAAATCACATAGATCATGAGGTGTTGCTTGATGTTTCTGTAATTGCTCATGCATGGTCGAAGCGCTTCGTTTTGTTCTGGCGATCAATAGGGTAAGCGAAAGCTCGAACGCATAAGTCACTGAAGTGCTGGTTTAGTCGTGATGAGTTGTGCGTGTGTGCGTCCAGTTGTGCTGTATCATAGGAGTTCAGAAGAAGTCGCTGCTACTCCTCCATCAAGACTGATTGTTTAATTGTTTACATTGCGACATTTATAGCTCGGAGGTATCTGCTAAAAACAACCCTTTTAGGTTTTTGATCGTGACATGAATTTGTATGAAAAACCAAGTGATGTACCGGAATCGTTGCGAAAGATGATATGTGAATCATGCTTTCCACCCAATGATGGAGAATCTGCTTCCCTTCACCTGGACTACTGGTAACATTTTCAAAATGATTTCTACTTATGACTTCGACTTGTTCCGTTCTAAGATGGTTTTAAGCATGCGTATTGTGCCCCATCACCAAGACACAGGCGGATTCTTCGTTGCTCTTTTGGAAAAAGTGGAGGAGAAACCCTTGAACAGTCCAGTAACTGTGGGGTACAATTTTCTTTCTTTATTCATAGCCATTCTGTGCCTTTCTGCCATTCAGTACTTGATTTCATTTTAGAGCTCCAGCATATAAAAAACAGAAAATGTTCAAGGATGAGCCTTTCACTTTTCTGAAAAAGGACGACGAGCGATGGGCTGATATCAAGTGCGTTTTAGTTACAAGTTGCATGTGTGATAACTAGCCTTAACTGGAGTAGAACTGAGTTCAGTCGGATTATGTTCAACGATAAAAGTGCTCTACCGAGCTGAACCTTTTCATTCAGCCATTCAAATCTCGGGCGTCTCTCGAAATTTTACATTCCATCAGGATTGTATTTGTATGTGTGAGAGTGCTCTCTTAGTCAAAATTCGTGATTCAACTTTATCCATCAGCAACTCTTCGCAAAAGATTTGTTTTGAAAAAGTTCGCTTTTCAATTGTTCGTTGCCTCGCAACCGCCGCAATTTGAAATCGTTTTATGAGGTGAGAGAAAGCCAAATGGGAAACGGCAAAGGCGTCAGGAGGCTTCATTCCTTCCAGACTCTGTAGGAATTACGGGTTCAGTATAATTTTGATCATTACTCATTACTTTGCTCAAAACCGGGTCATGCTTCTTAGTTTAACCCTCGGTGAGTGCCATGGTGAGTATTTCTTTCGGTATGTCCCGGAGCCTTGAACGAGCATAGAACATTTAATTTTCTTCAACCGTAGCTTATCAGAAAATACGCAAGCGACTTTTCAAATGATTTTGACGAATTTTAGCTTATGCTTCAGTTTTCAGAGGTCACTATGGAGTACGTGACGATTTTGAATATGAAAATCTGTTCAGTCGTCGTCTTGCCGAGCACGATGTTAACTGTCGCCAGTTATTCTACGCCAATGCAGCAGTGAAGGATTTTGTGGTGGGATACAACCGGATTTCCTGTCTCACGTGAATCGATTGTTCAAGTGGTTAGTGTTTTCCAGCAGCGCAACATGTCAGCTGTATCAATTCAAAACGCTGGTATGAAGATGTTCAGCCGTAATGAGCAAAAAGTTGAAACAACGCGATTCCGTTTATCACAAGAGGGCATACGACACCTTCTTCCCTACCTGGAAAAGAAGTTTGTGAGTTTTTTTTCCTAAATTTATCCTTCTTTTTTTTTNTTTTTTTTTTTAGTGGTGACTGCTTTTCTACCAGGAGGGGGCAAATTTATACAAAACCTGATTTTTTCAGATGGGTCATTTGATTTTCTAGTCTTCCAGGTTAAAATTGATGAAGAAGATATGCTGAAAATTTTGAAAACCGAACAAACGATGATACCTTTGGAATCGCTCAATTATAAGGACGCTATCAGAGAGCAAGGCGCTGGAAGTCTTGTATTATTCTCTGACAAAGCCAACCCTGTTTGCACTTGGGTAAATTTCTTTTCGGATTTTTATGCTTGCACTTTTAAATACGATAGAATAAATATCATGAACAAATGGGAGAAAAATGAGTGCGCCCATGGTCTTTCTTGAACGTTTGTGTCTAACGTAAAGACGGATAAGGAAGGAATATGACCACATTCGGTTTTTCGAGCTTAGTTACGCCCAAAATGAGCTGGGTCAGCTTCTCAGCGTGTCATTCCTTTTCGTAGTTATCGCAGCATCTTAACTGGCACTTACGCTCGTGAGATGGAAGGTTTCTTGGTTATGAATCAGAGTCTAAAAGGTTGAGAAAAGATCTAAACTTTCTTTTTGTTCTCCCTACTTTGTGTATCGTTTTTTTGGCTTGATTACATTTGAACGTTGATATTCATAATTACTCATAGCCCACCTCTATCTCGATCTCCATTTACTACCCTTTATAACCTACCACTAGATCTACTAAGTTGTAGGGGTGGTAAATGTTATCCGAGGTAGGACTAGGCTGTGGTATATCATAGAGCCGTCGAACATTCCTGGTGAAAGAGCTGTCATACGTTATGCCTTTCTTTATGGTAATTGTTTATTCGCAGCATTAATTCTGTTAATTCAAGTCTTGCAGGTTGGATTCCATACTGTAGCACCGTATGTTTGTAAAGAAGAGCGTGTCCACATGCTTCGAATGATGGGAGTTGACTGCTCGGAAATTGAGCAAATGATGAAATCTAAGAGGAAACAGAAGGTAAGTTCAGAACAGAATCAACCTCAATCATTCAAATTTTCCTCACGACTTTTACCAACAAAAGTTTTTTTCCGGCGGCTGCTGATCGGCAGGCCGCTTGGGAAGAAGAACAGACCGAGAAAGTCGCACACGGAGCACAGGGACAAATTGAGGAGGAAACGTCTAACCTTTCTGTTACCAATGCGGAAAGCAAAAATGGTGGAGGAGATGCCTCCTAAGATCTACGTTTGCTGTTTTCTAGGTGTGATATCATTGACATTTTAAAAAGGTATCTCTTACCACCTTTGCACCGTTGTTGATCTGTTTTGTTGGTGAATGGAATCTGATGTTGATATATGATTTCTACTTTGGAGATGTCTTGTGGCGCTAATAATTGTCACAAAGTGGTTGAAGAATGTTGTTATACGTCATTGTTGTTTACGTGCACAATTTTCCGAATAAATGGTTTGCTGAGTTATGTGTTTTGTTGTTTACTACGATGTTTTGTTCACTGAATACTGTTGCGTTTTTTTTTTCGAGTTACTTGCAAGAGTAGATGAAAGGCAAGGTTCTACTCTCTTAGCGTTATCTTGTTGACCAATGATAGAGTTAAAAAAGTGGGAAGGGGTGGGAATGTGATAACATTATTGATGACGAAACGTGCAATAGCACTTGACCAGCTGCTACCAGCTTGCCGTAAACAAAATCATTAATTTTAGTCGAGCACTCGGTTGCAACTATGTTGTAATATGATCGAAACTTTTGCTTATACATATTGTCGAACCGTATCGCGGCCGTGTGCTCGAATTCCAAGTGTTGCGGCTTAGCGTTGATTTATTACCGATGAGCCGGATTATTAGTCCATTAAAAATGTTTGTGTGATCATTCTGTGGTTGTTTCGGAGCTTTCCAACCTCAACTTATATAAAAACGTCTTTTTTTGGGAATGCGACGGGAGTTGTTAGGGTGTGGTCTATCGGAAGATGGGCAACTGGGACTCGGAAGTCGAAGTGCCGCATGTGTAAAATTGCCCGAACAAATTGGTAAGTTCCGTCGAATACTCTCACATTGTTCCTCCGAATCTCCCCTTTAAGTAAACATTTTTTTCAGTAGGAGCTCCCTTAAGCTCTAGTGGAACAGCTGTGATAAGTGTTGCCTGTGGAGAAAAACATACATTGTTACTAGCCGAAGATGGCAAAATGTGGAGTGTAGGTGGAAATGACGCTGGCCAACTTGGCCGAGGAGGTCGTGGTGCAGGCAGCTTTACAATATATCCAGTATCATTTAGTGGAGGAGTGGAAATGATACAGGTATGTGTTACCACTTATCTTTGTTTTGGTGTTTTGCCAAGTTAAAGGATATAAAATAGAGTATGTGATAATATTTCAAAACCACAGTGGTATTCGTATCCGTATTTTGATTATTTAATGGCTCATGAAGCCGTTCGATGTACAAGTTATTGTTTTTATCCTTTAAAAACTAGCTGACAAAACTTAGAAGTGGTAGGTTTCATTGACTTGAGCGGTTATCGATCCAAAGTTTGATCCCATAGGTAAGGCAGCCATCTAGAGTTTTATCCCTTCTAGGTAACACAGCCACTCAGCTTATTCATCGTCGCTCTTCAATACATAAACCTTTACTACTTTATGGTGTAACAGTAATCCTGTTTTTTTTTTCTTCCAGATAGCTGCAGGTCGTTCACATTCCTTAGCTGTAGCCGAAGATGGTCGCCTGTTTGCATGGGGCAATAACGAACATGGAGAACTCGCTATGCCGCGTTACATATCATGTCAGGAGACGCCGAAGTCGGTGGTGTTTCTACTCCATTATTTTACTTGTGTATACTGTTTATACTTTAATTTTTGTTTCCCTTTATTACCGTGTTGGCCTCCGCCGTCTCCAGCGTAGGAACTACGCCGTTTCCTTCGTAAGAGATAATAATAGAACTGATCAACGGACTTGAGCCATAGAGTAGTATATAAGCAAATAAGTGGGTTCTTGTACCCGAATAGGCGGTAAATAGGTGGGCTCTTGTATGTGATCGCGCATACCACGTTAGCCATGCATGATTGCTGAAGGGGAGCATTTGAATTTCCAAGTGAAGGACACGGTATGAGCGAAATCATTCTGAGGATTCGGATGTACATGATGTGGCAGAAATAAAGGAAATTACTGCGATGCACAGAGTACTTATTTACCTCTTTTTAGGCGAATAGCAGAGCTAACGGAAGTCGTTCAAGTCGCCTCTGGACCACATCATTGTATAGCACTGCTAGAGAGTTCGTAAAGGTTTCACATCTCGCCTCGATTGATCCGCATTCATCACTTGGAATTTGGCCAAAACTCTCAATTGCTCCATTTTCTTTTCTATATTTTTTGACCTGCATGTATTTCGGTTTAGATGGTGTAGTAGCTGTATGGGGTGAACAGTCTGATGGAGCCATCTTACACTCGCCTCAAATCGTCAGCCAACTAACGGGTATTCCGATTGTCAGAAGTGAGGCTAGGAACTTATTTTTTATGAACTTCAACTCAAAATCACACTTGCAGTCGCCGCTGGTGGTCGGCATTGTGTAGCTATATCTGCTGGTGGTGGAGTTTATGTATGGGGTCACAATGAGTACGGTCAACTTGGCACGGGAGATACACTGCGTGAGTTACAGTCATAAATCAAAGTTTATTCACCAATGGGAGGCAAGAGAAACTTATACAATGCCCTTTGTTACACCTACTCTTCTTACAAAAAAGACCCTCCTTGTGTGAGTTCTGACTGTCAGTTCTCAGCATCGAAAGTTTGTTAGTTGATCACGCAAGAAAGCTCCTGGAATAGCTTATCTGAACCGTTTGTTTTCACTGTTTCTATAGTGCTGAGGCTTGTAGCTATAAAATTGTATTCTTCAGGAAAATTTTCTATATCACTGTCAATAAAAAGCACTTTATCCCTCTAAATCACCATACCCAATCATAGATTGTAACAATAAACATAATAGCGCATTAGAATTGTCTAATTTCTTACTTGTTTTGTTGCATTTTTTTTGACAATATTGCTGCATTTTTTCGAATATATTTTTCGGCGGCAAATATCTATTTTTTCCACCACACATGTTTAGCACGTTCATCTCCTTTTTTCTTGGATGGGATGAGCTCTATGCATATCATCGAGGCCTACTGTGGTGATTCACACACGCTTTTGCTGTCACAAGAAGGGCGCCTGTTTGCATTTGGATCAGATGCCCAAGGGCAAATTGGAGGAGGAAGGAAGTGAGATTAGTTTAGTCACAGTCATTCATGAAATACAGTTTAAAGAGTTTTCATTTGGTTGATAAGATTGAAATAAGATAGAGCCTAAAATTAAGTGTGTCGGATCGTATAACTCTAGCCTACGCGTTTGGGAATGTCAGAGAAGTTTTTGAAAAAAATCTCTTCTAAACGTAAAGGTCCGGGCCTCAGCAGTGCCAAGTAACAGCCGCAATATTTACTTGAACAACTCTATTTCATTCTACACAGTCAGAGCCCAAACTTTCAGACTGCGTTGCACAGTAGAGTTAATCTTGCAGGAACAAAATTGGGCCAAGGTGATCCGTACACCACTTTAGGCTTCTCAGACATTTAGCTAGCCCCTATGAAGTCTTACGAACCTCATAATTGCTGCAAAATGGTTGCATTCAGTAAAATATAGTCAAATGAAAAATGAAACATCAACATGACTAAAGGAAAGTCGTCATTGTTTGATTAAAAATCTTTTTACACGACCTGTTGAAGTCCATTTCTGCTTTTTTTTTTGCTTTCTCCAGACTACACGGCTCATAATATTTGTAGTCTGAGAATCGCAGTGATTCACCTTAATTCGTTGAAAATTTTACAGCTCAGAACCCAAGTCGCTAGAACTTCCCTAGGAGACCAAGTTTTTTTCAGGTTCGACAAGCACACGAATCCAGCGGCAGTAACAGAGCTAATGGGAAGCACTGTGACACGAGTAGCATGCGGACGGTTAGTTCAAGAGTTTTAATTATCTGTTTAACTTATTTAATAGAAATTTTTGACCCATATGGTTGCTGGGGCGCCTCTCTAGCCTTCGCTACTTGACATGACGATGGGCAGAATTATGATTTTTGAGGGTTTTCTCGAACTCGAATAAGTTGCTCCTGTCATAGCATCGGTATATTTATTGTCAAAAAAATGAAAGAAATCTCGATGGGTAGTTCAAGTAGAGTCAATGAGGGATGAATAAAAGACAGATGAGGGTGAGCATTGATTAAATTGCATTTAAGAAGCCTTAATAGCCAGCCATCAAAGCCTATCGGTTAAGAGCGTAAATAATATGGATATATCGCTGAGGAGCCCTGGTTGTTGTGTATTTCGCAGGCCAACTTCACTTTTGTTTTATTTATTTATATTGTTTATTTATTTTTCTTTTGTTTCACTTATTTATTGTTTTATACTTACATCGGTTATGCACTTTTCTCGAGATATATGAAATTCCGTTAATATTATATTAGGTTGATGCATAATTATTGCGGATTTTTCGCGGCTTTTTTTCTCTCGATAGAACTTGAATATTGAGTTCGAGTTTTTTCTAGAAATGATCTGCTTGATTTCCTCTACAAGAATATACTCAAAAAACCATCCGCATATTCGCAAAATTAGGCTTTACTACTTCGAGAAAGATTGGAAGGTGGCGCACTCATTCCGCGATCTCAGTAACTTTCCAGCGATCGTCCATTAGGTGATCTAGTGAAGGTACACATGATTTTCTGGTGGTCAAACACGGTCAAATACGGTCAAACATTTTGATATTTTCCATTTCCCTGCATTTTACCTGCCTCTATACATTAGGTTGATGCATAATTATTGCGAATTTTTTGCAGCAAATTTCACTTAAAGAAATTACAGAAATACTAAGCAAAGACATATTCAAATAATTACTCCGGAACTTATTTACCATCTACGTCAAGCACTGCTTCCCATTGATTAGTTTGTCGGATACCAAAAGCGAAGAAGTTTTGATCCTTACGGGCGATCCACGCCTTGACATCGGCCATCGAGTCATACAAATCGACGTAGCTTCTATTTTCTAGGCATTTTTTCGATGAACGGTTGACGAGATAATCCATAAAAGTTTTTGCTGGCGAATATGGCAGATTTAGGGGCAGATCCCATTTCTTGGTTGGCTCTGGCTCTTTGTTCGATCGCCGAAAAGTTACTGAGATCGCGGAATGACTGCGCCACCCTCCAATCTTTCTCGAAGTAGTTAAGCCAAATTTCGCGAATATGCAGACGGTTTTTTGAGTATATTCTTGTGGAGAAAATCGAGTAGATCATTTCTAAAGAAAACCCGAACTCAATATTCAAATTCTATCGAGAGAAAAAAAGCAGCGGAAAAATCCGCAATAATTATGCATCAACCTATCATATTTTTTCCATTCATGATATTAAATCTCGGCCATTTTACCGTTTTTTTGGAACGAATTTCTTTAAGAAACCATTCGGTTGTGGTGATCGGAGGACGATTGTATCCTTTCGGTCAGAACGCAAATGGTCAATTAGGTAATGGATCGGCAATGAATCAGCCACTTCCTCGGCAAACGGATGAACTCGATCATGTAGTATCCGTATTCGCAGGATTCGACCAGACTTTTATACTACGTTCTGTTGACACGCCCGTGAGTTGGTCCTTTTCAGTACCATTTTTTAATGTTAAGATGGGCGCTAGAGTCTTTTAGTTTTGATGCACTTACCGATATTTGCGCGCCTCAACGCGCTTCAAATTTATTCAATTGTGGTTGCTCCGGAAATACTGAATATAGTGGCCTTTTTCTTTTACTTCCTGTTTTATTCCGGCCTTCGTCAAAATAGAAGTGAACCGCTGTTGAGTTATAGATAATGACAGCTGGACCAAACTGCCCACTCAAAACACCGGTTTTCCTCGACAAAGCTAAAGTACTGGATCTACTTGCTCGACATGAAAAACTCGACTTGATTGGGTTAGTTAGTCACTGTTTGGCTTAGCAGTCCCTTATCAAACATCCACATTCAGTTATGATTATCTTAGCTCTAGTAGAGGGAGCTGCTAATGAACTTAGAGAGACTGTTAATGATTTTGATTCTTTGTAGACTCCTCGAATCGGTTTTATCATCGATAAGCTGTATAAATGGTTCATTTTTGTTCGATGACGAACGGCATTTTCTGCATGAAGGAAGTGTTCATGGAGTAAATTTGGACGACGTCATGGATACATTTGGTGCTCTAGGGGACTCGTCGGATGCCCGTCAATACGCCGAATTAGTAAGTCATATTTATGTAGGTGAGTTCTCAGTGGAGGCGAGAATGATTCAGAAATGTTTAGATTGTTGACACATTAAGTATTTCGGTCTTTTCGGATGATTTCAATCCCTCCTCAACAGCATCCGTAGAAGCTCTTCGTGTGTACTTGATACTGGTATGGTTCCATGGATTTGTAACGAATGTGACCAAGGATACGGTAGTCCGACTACATCAACCATTTGCTGAATCCATATCGAAGCTTCGACCAGTGTTCCGTAATGCATTAGGTAAAAGTGAAGCTTTTCTGTTTCCTTACGATCTCGGGCCAGTTGATTGCATCTGTATGAAAATTTTGAGTGTTTGGCACCTTGTCGTATCCTGTTCTATAATAATTGGAGAACTCTTACAGAAAAATGGTGGGTTAAGCTCCCGGTGCGACATTTCAATCGGTTCGTCACAGTAATGATGTCGGCAGTACGATGCCTGGTGAAAGACAAAGTGGATCCTCAAGATTGCCGGACATATTTGGAGATATTGGCATCGTTGTGCGCAATCAATAAGGTGAGATTTGCCATACGGATTGTGTAAATGAACTGTGGAATGGTCTAGTTTTCGTAAAAAGTAAATAAAACTGTTAGTCTCTGTTTCTCACTTGGTTATGAGTTTGATATTAATTTTTCAAATGTAGTGGGAATTGGCAGATGAGAGATGAACACGAACTTAGGTCCCCATGAGCGGTCCTTTTGTTTTTGATGGATCGGATTGGCCGTTTGGTTGAGACTCTGAAACGGTTCCTGCACTCCTGCACACAATCGAAGCCGTTGAGTCTCATCGAAGAGTGAAGAGTCACTTCGCCGTCATCTGGTCATCTTCTTCAGAGACCTAGTTCTTCTTCCCTTATGCTGACGTGACCTCCCCCTCCTCATTTCTTTTTCCGATTTCATGTGGAGGGTGTCATTAAGCCGGCACAAAAGAAGCTGGAAGGGAAATGGCTTGAATCTTTAGAAGAAATGTATTATTCCAGGTCACTAATCATATTCCGCTGGAAAACTTTTACGTTCATGAACTAGCCGAGAACTACAATTTGAAAATGGACTATGTGAAATGGGCACATGGTCAGGTAAGACGATCTGTTGTCCCAAATCAGGTCAGCGTTCCCTTTGTATAATGCGTTCAGGGAGTCTATATAGGATTTGTGCTGATATTGAATATTTGAAACTCCTGAATTAATGGAGTTCAATGGACTAACGTTTGTGCTTCATCTTCTCTCAGTCTAGGCTCATTGTTTTGGATCTGGTTGAGCATTACTTATGATGACGTTTAGGAAAACAAGGAAACTGGAGTCACGTGTTGGTCAAGCTATCCTTTTCTGATGAACGCGGCTGCCAAGGGTGAACTGTTATACGTTGAAGCCGTCATTTCAATGCAGGTTTGGAACTTTTCTCATCTATGGTTATATTGATTGTTTTTTTATGAACTGGATATCTGTTAACTTTTAAAATATCGATTTCCCTTTTCGTCTTGATTTGGATCTCTTAGTTTTACCTAGCGCAAATTGGATTGCTACAGAAGGGGGTATTATTCTCACGCCTAATGAGCCATTTTGTGATATTCAGGTCGAACTGGTGGAGCAGTTTGATCACTACAACGTGGGGAACGCAAGTAATTGCTGCGAGTATTCAAGCTTCCCGTTAATCGCTCTTTCCATATCGTTGTTTTACGCACATGCCTTGTTTTCTCCCCGGTACCAGCTTGGTAGACGTGAAGGAGGATAGGTAAGTCTGGGGGTGTACAAGTTGCCAAAGTTGCCAAGCGGTTGAATGGATAGAAGTGAAACGCGGGCTATTTTGAACACCCTTGATGAAAGTAAACAGTCTCATTCTTCATCACATTGAATATGGTACTACAAATCGATGAAATTCAAGCTGAGCATTTTTGTAAGAACGTCTTTACTGGATTGATTGAATGTTCAAGTAAGAGCTGTACTTTGCAGACATCAATGAATGGTGCTAGACTTAATCTGTTTGGATTCGATCTTTTCTTCGAACAACCTTTCTTCGAGCTGACTGTGAGACGAAACCATATTGTGCAGGATACCATCAATGGTCTTCTTTCATCTGATCGACGGTACTTACAGCGGCCGTTAAGGGTGAGTTGTAAACCCTTCCCACGCCCTTGGAAGTAGGAAAGGGAAGAGCTTCAAATGGCACGTTTGCAAAAGTGGGGTCAACTTATTTGTGGGTTCGATATTTTTATCAATGTGGTGGTGGTGTTTGTATGGCCATGTGATTTTTGGGTATGGTTTGATTAAACAGTCGTACTGGGTCAATAACCTGGTTGACCCAGCTGGGCATCGACGCGAAATTTGACCAACGAGCCTTAAATTTTTTTTGGGGCGCCTTCGAGTATTGTTCTTCTTCCGGTTATTGACATTGCTACAGGTCCCAGCTACGTAGTTCATTCTAACTATCTCGCGATATTCTGGGTTGCGTCATGTCATGTCTACACTGAATTTCATAGATAAAACAGCCGTAGTTTGTTAACTAGTTCCCCAAGGATATTGCGGATATGATCGCCGTTCAGGCGGTGATGCGAAGGTTTTTTTCATCTTTTCTGACTGAGTCAATACCAGGTAGATGATAATTGATTTAGGTTGGCAGTGTTGATGGTTCACCTATATGAGAACTAAGCATAAGACTAGACTCACGCCTAGTACCCAGTGTTTTGTGAAAGCAACATCCTTTCCACTGTCTAGACATAATTTACTTTCTAAATAAGCTTACCAATTCCTCTCAGTTCCTATTATTATACTATTTCAATGCACCAATTCCAAATTCTCCGTCACAAGCTGTATTTAGAATTTTTGATCGGGTATGCCGTGCAGGGAATCCAGATTTTTTTGCTATTTGTTAACACGGGCTATAACCTCAAAGGTGCATGTGTTCTCTAAACTGCATGTGTTACTCACCTAATTAGAATTGTTTATGCCCTACTCAATTACAGCCACATAAGAGCAGAGTTGGAAAGATCAATCAAAAGTTCTCAGCGGTCCCTTAGCATTTGCTTGAGTCTCATGATGAAATTTTTTACTTTAGGTACATTTTATGGGTGAAGAAGCGGAAGATGCCGGAGGCGTCAAGAAAGAGTTCTTCATGATTTTGTTCCAAAAACTTCTCCAGTCTGAGTAAGTCTTACAGGAAAATTTTGAGCGTAAAACCTGATTTGCTTGACCGTAGTCCGATAAACTTCGATTTGACTACCCATTCGGGTTACAGGTACGGTATGTTCGTAGAAGACCCAGACTCGCATCTCGTATGGTTCAGTGGGTATGATGTGGAAGAAGTGAATTACTACAAAATGGTCGGTATTCTATGCGGTCTGGCCGTTTATAACTCGGTTCTGGTTGCTTTCCCATTCCCCCTGGCACTTTATAAGGTAATTTTCTGTCCCCGTAACTGTGATGATCCTTGGAACTCCTTTGAAACAGATCCTGCTTGGACAACAACCAACCTTGGAGGACCTCACAGAGCTTAGTCCGATTGAGGGACGAAGTCTTCAAGAGTTGTTGGACTATCAAGGTGATGATTTTGAAGTGAGTGACTCTTCTACAGAACTTTCTTCTTGGAAAAACTTTTTTCCTAAAGGTTTACGTTCGACTCCTTCCATCTCCTTCTAGGATGTGTTTTGCCTCACTTTTACGATATCATATGCTGCATTTGGAAGTACGGAGACATCAGATTTGAAGCCAGGTGGAGCTGACATACCTGTGACGCAATCTAATAAAGCTGACTATGTTCAGGTGGGTTTTTGGAAACAGTGCATATTTATCTTCACGGTGTGTTTTTGGAACTTTTTTCGTTGGCTATGCTATCTCTAGAACCTGTTAGATCTGCACCAATGAATTTACTTACAATTACCATGCTGTTATTATTATGTTATTACTTTATAATCCTTGCAAACTACTGAAAAGCCTTGAACTGGGCATGAATTATTTTTCTGATATAGCGGGTTAAGAGAATGAAATTGTCCGGAGGAAAGAAGCAATCAAGTATTGAGTGAGTTGATAGATGACTGTTGTGGAAACCCCCTGAGAGGATTCACAATTTATTGAGAGCTATTTTTCAAATGGTTGTTTGTGTGCTGCAGATATGGCCATAGAAAATTGAGAATTTAATTCTTATGATAAGTCCTTTTTATTCGTGCATACAAGAGAAAAATGTTGTGGTAAACCTCTATTGCCTACACTTTTGATCTTTTAATCTTGATCAATTATTTAAACCGTTATTTTAACACTTGAAACTGTTAAAACTGCGCTCTATTTTAGCTTTTAACACTATGAGTTTCACCGATATAATGTAAAAGTTGAACGATGATTAATAAGGGTGAACCGACTCTTTTTCATTAACATTTTCTTTATGGGTTATCAGCATGTCTCGAAAAATTGGAATGAATTGAAAAATTTCGCAATTTGGGTCACTTACCCGAATAGAATGGAAATGGGGAGGTATACTGTAAAAATAGAAATCGCTCCAGTCCGGACAACTTTTTAGTTTATGCGATTATTTATTCATGTGTAATTTGTACGATGGATAGTATGGCATTTGATGGCCATTAATCTTTTGTATTCCAGCGATACGTTCATCATCGACTATGCGTTGGACGTAATGGTGAGGTTGAACGGCAGGCGGCAGCGTTTCGTGACGGTTTCAAACTGGTGTTGAATAGTCGTATCGTTGCATTCTTTCAACCACGAGAACTCATGGAACTAGTTATTGGCAATGAAAACTACGACTGGTCGGAGTTGCGCAAGGTCGGTTAATCTGAGTTTTTGGCGGCTTGGTTAGTTGCCGTGTACGTCGCAGCGCCCGTTTTCGCTCATTGTTTCTAGTTGATTCACAATTTCATAGAGAACTTTTTCTGAAAAAGCTTGCTCTGCCGTGCCGTGAATCTTCCTATTCCCCATTGAATCTTGAGTTTTGTCGAAGGATTTCCTGATACGATGTCATTTCTCCTTCACACTTCATAAAATTTTTGATTGAGATTCTATTTTAGTTCGAGGAATAGTAGAGAGAGGTATTTTACTAGCACTTATGATTCCAGTAAAAATGTTGAAAGTCCTGAAGGAACAATCCTAAAAAATTTTCTCCGATCATATTTTCCCCTAAGGAGATGTCTGGCAACATGTCCCGTTGATCCTTGAGAACTTCCGATTCTTCCTCAATTTCCTACCGTTATCCGTCAAATCAGCTGTTATTTGTGTGTCCGTTAGTCGCTGTATGTTGGTGACGATGGTGAGGCGAGCAATGGTAGTGAGAAACCGGATTTTTCCACACTTTGCGTTCTCCCGTCAAATCACGTGTGCTGTTGTGTCGGTTGGATGGTGTTGGAATGAGTTGACAGTGGGTGAGGTGAGAGTAATTGTCAAAAGCACTCATCTCATCGCCTCAGATGCTTCATCCTCGCCATTTCACCACCATTTCGGGTAAACGCGAATGGGATGTTTTTCTTGGAACTGAAGGAAAGGTTGATGATCGTGACCGTAGCCACAAAACTGCTGTGAAGTAAAGAGGTGTATAAGAGCATTGGAAGGAAATCTTGGATGTGCATTATTTTGGCGGTATAATTAAGGTTTGGCTGCAACTGAATGACCGTAACAACTTTCGCCGTTTTGGTCCGTTTTTATAACTTTTTGCACATGGTTTTCTTAGAAATTATTTTTTGTTTTAATTTGTGATTTTTCGAACGTAGTAAAGATGGGTTAAGGGCGGTATTGTCAGGAAGGTGAATAGTAGGCCCAGCACTCAAAACCTCCAATAAGAAATGAATTTCGCATTCGGGTGACAAACTTCTATAAAGCGCTTCATTTGGTTAGTCTTCGTCGAGTAATCTTGCCACCTCTTCTATTGATCACACGCCTATTAAGGTGATAAAATTTTGAGATTGTCAATCATTCCTGTTTGACGGCTGCACCTACGTATTCGACTTCCACTCGAATGGTAGTGGCGTATTGAATGCGTATGTGGCCTATACA